ATTATCAAAATAGATTTAAGGTGCTCCGTTATATTGCAGTATTTTATCTTCGGATTTCCAAGTTAAATGTACTGAGATTGTGCACCCTGCAATCGATCGATTGTAAATTGTAATATAGAAAATAAAATTAATCCAAAGAGTAGAAATTGCAGTTGAGATTCATCTTGAACTGAACACAGATTAAATATGACACAAAACAGTTTTTTTTCCTGATTTTTGTTTGATTATTTTCGTATATTTAAATGTTTTTCATGTAAACTATAAAATGTTAACTTAATTTTAAAGAATTTATAACTTAGTTCAATAATTTATTTAAAACGGCCTCTTCGTATTCACTTTCTGATAAAGTTTACGATTCTTCAAAAAGATAAAGCTTAGAGATGTTAATTATCACTGTTTAAAATAAATACAGACGAGAACCACAAGATTAGTGTCTTCGGTTTGTTTTCTGCTCGTAATACCTAAAAAGAAAAAAATGAAAATGTACTTTGTTGTAATCGTTTAAAGTGGCGCTGAGTACCAAGCCGAGTACAAGACTATGTACTTTAGCTTTAGATCGCCTGCTGTTAAGGATGTAAAGGGGTAGTTTTTGTTTTATTCTCTTGCACATATATGTGGCATAATTTTCGTATAAATACTCAGTCAATTCTTTCTTTAAGCATAGTCTCGGTTAGCCTATTGTATGAATAACAACAATTACCTTAATTTATTTTAAAATGACTTTTTTAAGCTCCTTTAATTTATTGGTTTTAGTAATCTATTGCTTCCTATATATTACTGTAAGCATAAGGGCTGATGAGAATTGTGAGACATTTCCAACTGAAATACATGTAACCAAAGGTAAGTTTGCAAGCAGTAATTTTTTTTTTTCAAAAAGAGGAGTTTCAAAATTTTAGACACGGCATCGTCATCACCATTGTGCAAAAATTAAGTGTTACCTCATACTATTTATTCCTTAACTTTCAGAGGAATATGATGAAATAGGCTCACTGGTCAGATCATGTAGTGGCGAAGTCACTGTAAACAAATGTGAAGGTATTTGCAGAAGTCAGATTCAACCATCTGTTGTAACTGCTACAGGATTTCTGAAGGTATCTATCGTCATGTTATAATTTAACCGTAATTAATTATGTGCTACTAACAATCATATATGCCTTTTAGGAATGTTTTTGCTGTAGAGAAAATTATCTTCGTGAGCGAATTGTTACTCTAACTCACTGTTATGACCCCGATGGCCTAAGACTGGAAGATGAAGATCGCGCTACCATGGAGGTCCGTTTACGGGAGCCGGACGAATGCAAGTGCCACAAGTGCGGAGATTATAGCCGTTAAAGATGCAGACACAAATAGAAATGGAAATACCCTTAAAGATATAACCCTAGCCTTGGGAAATGGTCTCTGTATTCTTATACATTTATGTTCTTATAAAATTATATAATTACTCATGTATTTGTTATTTTGGAATTGGTCTAGGTCTAGAGAAATATTGTGATCGACAAAATCATTAATAATTATTTATTGGAATTCTGGAACGTTTAATGGTTTTGGTTTAAGTTGTAAAAGTATTGTAGACATACAATAATAACACGAAAACAATAAAAAAATGATTCTTTAACACTCTCTTTTCCTCTCCTGATTTTTTTGTACTAAACTGTAGTAGTTCGAATTCTACTACTTATTTAAGATTCCTCACGATCGAAGAATAAATCTATAATTTAAGTGCTGCATATCATAACTAGATATAATTTTCGTACACGGTAAATAAAGATTTCCTGTCACGTTTATTAGCAATCAAATAGACCGTTAACCAATATTTAATACTAAGATAAATTACATTAAATGTTGCCTTCTACATCTACTTACTTTAGAAGTAAAACAACGATTACAGTACATTGTTATAAATCCGTATGATTTGTTTTTTTTTAGTACAAATCAAAATAGACAAAAATCAAGTATACAGCAGAATACAAATATAATTTCAGAAAGTTTTCATTAACACTGTGTGTCATTCATATCCGGTTGAATCGGTTTATTCATGAAATAGATGCTGCCTTATATTGGTTCCAATACTGTTCATCTTGTTACCACAATTATAAAGTCTTGGAATAATTCCTAAAGTAATCTCTTCATGTAAAATTTTCAAACTAAATCTTTATTAAGGGACTATCTTAGTAACCATTTAACGCCATTAAAGTTAGCTAAACCAAAGGGCAACAAATATATTCACTTTTTTTTTATAATATAAGGTGGCAAACGAGCAACCGGCCACCTGAATCCACCGAAATGGAAAGCGACCACTGCCCATAATCATCCGCAATTGCAGATGCGTTGCCTACCTTTAATTGACGGAGGATAAGATTCACATAAAGAGGACATTTCCAGTTCCTATGAGTCTCCTGCACCGTTAAATCCACTTTTCCTTCCTATACATAGCTCTTAAGAAAAGGGTGGAAAGGAAAGACACTAAAATTAGGCCTCCGGTACCACTATCATCAGATGAAACGCGGAATTGCTTTCACTTCACGCCTGTTTTCTGTTTGGACGTGGTATTTCACCGGCCCATTCGTGCGAAGATGTGAAAGCGGGCTCTACCACTGTTAACTCTTTAACTTTAACCTAGCTGCAAGGGTGATAGAGGGTAGGCAGGTTTGTGGCTACAATGGATAATTGCCTCTTTGCAAAGAAGTGTTGGCAGATGATTTTCCGTTTTCAATCGTTAGCACTCTTCCTTTTGGTCACTGTTTATCTGTGTTCTTCTACTAATCGTGCCGTAAATCAGTACAGAATTAATTCTTTAATGGAACAGCTTGTATAAATTGTATCGACACGCTATAATGTACTGCGGTATGTTATTTTAGCTCAGGCGCTATAATCACATTTTATCACGGATGTAACCGGCGTAGAGTTTCTTGAAGGGCTTCGATTTCTTTAGGTTTGAAAAAGAAATGAAACGGATTTATTCCACAATAAAAATTACTAAGTAAATTTGTTGGGCAATATTTTACTGTGGCTCTTTGAATTAGATTTTTAAGAAGTAGGAAACCATACAACTTATCGGAGGGGCACCTTTACGGTCATAGAGACAACTCTAACATTGCACGAATTAGTTCGCTCGCTCGGTGCAATAATACAACCATACAGAAGACTGGCGTGAAGTGGAAGTAATTCCGTAATTCGTTCGATGAGCGTGCATGCCGGAGGCCTAGTTTTAGTCCACTTTCCCTTCCTATCTTTTTCTTTTAAGGATTTTCGGGAAGAAGGAAAGATCCCATGTATCCACAAAGTGTCCGTGTGTGTCTCATCATCTCTCATCTCTCGTCTCTCTGTGCGTGCCATCCTCCGTCAATTAAAGTTGGGCAACGCATCTGCAAATGCGGATGTTTACGGGCAGATGTCGCTTCTGTATGTTGGCAAATCCCGGTGACCACTTACTCGTTTGTCCGCTTACGAGTATATACTATATATAAAACTGTCAATAATAAATACTAATGTCTTTTCTATGGTGAAACGCATGAGATAATGCTTAATTATTATTACGTCTTTTGTGTTTATGAATGTTCATTTTAAAACATAATAGTGTTTTTTCATTTATTAACAATAGTTTCTACTTACCACACTCTTCAACACATATTAAATATAAAACATGCTGAAATGGAGTCCATCCAATTTAAACTTCGTCTTTTACTGTGGGAATTCGGATTTTCCGGAATACGTTTTTGTGGGATGGCAAGTTGACTTTTAACAGTTGCTTCGGCAGCGAAAACCTACATTAATACATAATTATGATATTTCTTATATTTAAATCAACCAAAACTTAGTTAGAATTCAAACCATTACGGTACGAATGAATATAATTCATTTGTTATTGTTTCTTTAGACGTCGATCAAAATTAAAACCGATAAATCAGTCCTCATTCTATTTACTTTAATAGATATACAAGAAGTTAAAAGGTTTTTGTATACTGATTGGTATTTATCAACATAGATAGATATATGTTCATAAGTCGGTCAATAGAGGACTATAAAGCCGTGGGTGATCTTGTAACCGGGAAAAGATACAAGGGAATGAGAATGATTTTTAATGTTACGGAGAAGAAACATCTGTTTGAACTCACTATGTGGTCACAGTTGTGGGCTTTATAAGCCAAGGCTAGTCGCAAATTTTTCATTCGAGCTACATATCTCGAAGTATTCAGTTTATCTTAAGATTAACATAAATATACTTTACATCATGATTACTTCTACTTGTCTTCGTTTAAGTGTAGTTATTCTTTTGAGCGTTATAATAAAGGAAAAAACAGTAAAAACACAAGAGGTTCATCTGCCACCAGGTGATTTCATTCTTTAAGAATTAAAAATAAACAAAACTATTCATATTAGTTTATTTTCACAAGTCACAAATGGAACAGCTACAAATATACTACATATTCACATTCGTTCACATTTGTTGTAACATTTTTCTATTTCCTCGTAAACCGAGCAGAAGTCCCTTTATTGAATTATATTGCATAACTTCTAACGTTAAATATTTTACAGGGCACGAATGTAAGATGACTCCAGTTATTCATGTCCTGCAACACGCTGGTTGTGTTCCCAAACCTATACCATCTTACGCTTGCATTGGCAAATGTACGAGTTATGTGCAGGTAACATTTTTATCCCAATGTACGATACAGATAAGTGGCAAACTATTTATAACAAAAGGTATAAATATTTAAGGTATCCGGTAGCAAGATTTGGCAAATGGAGCGATCGTGTAATTGCTGTCAGGAATCAGGAGAAAGGGAAGCCACTGTGGTTTTATTCTGTCCCAAGGCTAAAAGCGAAGAAAAAAGGTTCAGAAAGGTAATGAATTTAGGTAAATAGTATAGTGGTGGGTTAACTTAATCAAGCCTATGACAGACTAGACATCCGGCACTTGCCAACAAACAGAGTAGAAAGTCAGAGTGCAAACAAATTGCTTTACATTGGACATCCATTCATTCGTGTTTCATTAATTTTTTGTAATTCAGTATTAGTAAAATGTTGTAAATGTAAGTTTCAATTTACAGGTGACTACGAAAGCTCCGTTGGAATGTATGTGTCGTCCATGCGGTACCATTGATGAAAGTTCCATTATACCACAAGAAATTGCTGGATACTCTGATGAAAGTCTTCAAAACCATTTTAGAAAATCGTATTAAATTTTATTAAAGCTGGTTAAATGTATTCTGCCCTTGTAAATAATTATTAAAGTTTGTAGATTTCAAATGAATAAAGACCTTCGACCAATTAGATATCCTTTAATTTATGTTTTACAAGTCTTGGCCGTATTTTCTTTCGCCCCATACACATAAACAATTGCAAAACATCATAAAGCTACTCCTAGTTGTTCATTCATAACGTTCATGCATTTTTAACTAAAATGGTTTTATATGGAGAGTTTTTGGTAATTTTTTAAATTAATGTCAGTGTCTACAAGAGGTGAAAGTTACGGTTGAAAAAACCCGTATCATAGGTACAACACTATTCAGAAAATGCTAACATTATTTTGACATTTCCATATGTCAATTTACTCTTTGCCCTTTTATTTGACTTAGGGTTTGATTTGACATTGATGTTTGAGAGTTGACATATTTGACATAAAAACTTTGAAAACTCCGCCGGTCGGCGTTTGTTTTGATTTGATTTTACCTTTAATTTAATTTCCCGCTTTCGAATATACCCTGTATTTTAGACTATTAATTAAAAAAAAATGAGTCGGCGTAAGCGAACCAAGGTAAAAAACTACGTTAAATGTCAAAAAGGGATAATTCCAATTTGCTTATTTCTCATGGATGGTTATGATTATCTTTAGGTGGAAAATCGTGAAGTGGATGAAAAATTAAAACAGGACGACTCAGAATCGGATCAGTCTGACAAAAGTAAAATGATGGCAGCGAGTCCCACACTATTTAGCACGAGGCGGGAATCGCTATCCAGTAAGACATCAGATAGTAAAGAACCAAAGAAAGAAGAGAAATCCGTAGTGTTTGAAGACTCTAAAAGTGATGATATTGAAGAGATTAATTATAAGGAAATGCTAAATAGGTATACAATTCATATAATTTTTTTTTTCCTAAAACACAATATCTACCTTATCATACCATTAATTGTTTTCTGAGTAAAAAACTCAAGAGTGTCATAAAATAATGAAGAATAAAAGCAGAACCTTACTTGACAGGCCACTGAATAGGTATGCATATCGTTTGAAAAAATCCCTTCTGACTATTAATTGAAGTCAAAGCAAAACCAAAAGAAGTCAAGTAGTATCTTTTTTATTTCTATTCTACCAATGGAGAGTGATAATTGAAGAATCAGATTACAGATTAACAAAGATTTCTGGAGGTATCATAAAATGTACACTACATTTACCTAGTACCTTTGTGATTGTAATAATGTGTGTTACAGCTTGGAAGGTGCAGCATTTCAGTCTAGATTGCCTTTTGACAAGATGTCATCTCTAGAAGCTGAATGTTTCTCTGACCTCCAAGGTGCTTCAAGTCATACTTTTATTCAGATGAGAAACAGAATTCTGAAACTGTGGTTTGAAAACCCCAAGAAACAATTGACTCAAGAAGGTTGTGTACAGAAAATGGAAGTAAGTCTCTTTGGCATATTATTTTACTATTGATCATATTATTATAATTATTAAATAACAAATTACACTATTACTTTTACAGCCTCCATATAATGGTGATCCACCTTTAATAATGCGAGCACATGCATTTTTGGAACGACATGGCTTCATTAATTATGGCATCTATGAAAGAATAACACCTATTCCTTCACCTCCAAAAGGAAAACAGAGACCAAAAGTCATTATAATTGGTGCAGGTAGATTGATTTTATTTCCAAACTTCATATAATTTCTCATAATGCCATTAATAATGGAGAATACTTGTACAAAAGTTTGATATATGTTTTTCAGGTGTGTCAGGTTTAGCCGCAGCAAGACAACTACAATCCTTTGGTTGTGAAGTTGTAATATTGGAAGGCAGGGATCGTGTTGGAGGTAGAATTGTTACATATAGAAAAGGACCATATGTTGCTGATTTAGGTATTTATTTTTTTACTATCTCACTAACATAACAAATTTAGATTGATGTATGTCTGTTAGGCTTTGTCATTTAAACTGATGAAATTTGGCATAGACATAGAGGAAAGTCTGGCAGAAGACATAAGCTCCTTTAAATCCTTAAAATATTTTTGGTTTGTGTATACATTACATTTGTGTTATCTATCTTTCAATATATAATAGTTTTTTGTAATGATGAAATGTTTTTTGTTTTGATTTGAGTTTATTCTTTTCTTGTGCTTATTGGAACTTATGTCAAACATAAGGGATTTTCTTAAGGAAGATAAGAAGTAAATAAAAGGTTAGCATGGTAGGGGCATGTTATGAGGAAGGATGAATCACATGTAACAAAGTGGAAGGGTATAATGGTAGGGGTAGACCTAGAAAGAGATGGATGGATTGCATGAGTGATGACTAAGATGACATACGATAAAGTTATTTGGATGACAAAAATCTGTCGCGCCGACCCTACGGGAGTACTATAAGGAGGAAGATGATGAAGGGTTTTTTTTTAAGTTCCAATCTGTTTTGTATTACAGGAGCAATGGTGGTAACAGGCTTAGGTGGTAATCCAGTAACAACATTATCTGTGCAAATGAATATAGAATTGCATAAAATAAAACAAAAATGCCCCTTATATGAATCAAATGGTATTCAAGTACCGAAGCATAAGGATGAAATGGTAACTATGTATTATTTTATTATGAATAATATTAAATATGTAGTCTGGTTTTACAGTTTTAATAGATTTTTCCGAACGATGAATGGATATTTATTGTCATGTACCTCGGACACAGATAAAATATGCTATAGAATTGGGATATACTAGCTGTTGCCCGCGACTTCGTCCATGAAATATAATTTAAAAAAGGAATCTATAATATGCTTGTCTATGTCAGCTATCCTTCAGTGTAGTTCCGGTCGAAATCGGTTTAGCCGTTTCGGATAATACCCGGAACAATCGCGGCTTGCGGACAGATATACAGACAAAAAATGTTCAAATACGATTTCCGTTATCAGCAACCCACATACATCATCTTCCCCAAATCTGGAATTTTTCTTTTGATATTACAGATACTCCAATTTTATTATATGTATAGACGAGTTGTCTGTCTGTGCGCAAGCCACGATTATTCCGGGTAATCTAAACGGCTAGGGTGATTTCGACTCACTGGAGGGTAGCTGACATAGACAAGGGACATATTATACTACATTTTTTTATAATTCCGCGCTGTCAAAATGGCGTAGCGGGTGGTCAAAATTTGCGCTAACGAAATTTGTGGGTGGCAGCTCATTTACTGTAAACCTGGTCAATGGATGTATGGATGTATGGATGTTGTATGTCGCTAGGTGGAGCGCGAGTTCAACCGTCTTTTGGACGCGACGTCGTACTTGTCGCATCAAGTGGACTTCAACTACTACGACGACACGCCCGTGTCGCTCGGACAGGCGCTCGAGTGGGTCATCAAACTGCAGCAGAAGAATGTTAAACACAAACAGGTAATATTTCAGGTTTCCATTCTCAAAATAAGATACAGATAAAATTAATAATAGTAGAACCCACTTTAATATCTTCGCACGAATGGGCTCGCCCGGTGTAATACCACCACACAGAAGACAGGCGTGAAGTAGAAGCAATTCCACGTTTTGTCTGATGAGTGTGGTGCCGTATTCCTAATTGTAGTCCCTTTCCTTTTAAATCCTTTTCTTAAGAAGAAAGGGTGGGAAGGAAAAGTGGATTTGACGGAGGAGACGCATAGGAATGTGAAATGTCCTTATGTGCGTCTCCTACTCCGTCAATTAAGGGTAGGCGGTCGCTTTTCATTTCGTTGCATTCAGGTGGTCACTTGCTCGTTTGCCATCTTATATTATAAAAAAAGCCACAATAGGCTTTTACAGAATATCAGCTAAGTAATAGCCTTGTCCATTTAGCGTTCCAATTTAATTGATTTTTATTTATTAACTGTCTAATTATAAATTTTATTGCATTTTCGTTATAGTTACTTGTATTTTAAAAATATGTAAAATAAAGAAGAAAAAATATATTTAATAAGCAATTATTACAATACTAGCTGTTGCCCGTGACTCCGTCCGGGTGGAATTAAAAAAAACAAAAGTGAGTAGCCTATGTGAGCTTCCAGACTATCCTCTACATCTGTACCAAATTCCATTGAAATCCGTTCAGCCGTTTAGGCTACAAACTCTAACAAACATACAAACATCCATCCATCCATCCATCCATCCATCCATCCATCCATCCATCCATCCATCCATCCATCTAAACTTTCGCATTTATAATATTAGTATGATTAGTATGATTTTATATTTCAGATACAACATTTAAAAGCTGTTATAACTCTCCAAGAAAAGTTAAAAGGCAATATAAATAAGTAAGTATCACAACACAATAAACACCTCATAGTAATTTGGTGAAACGCGATTTACTAAGTTTATTAAAAATGTTTGCTTACGTATATTCTTTTTTACTTTGTTCAAATAATTAATTAATTTAATTTTGCAATAATACTCTTTTCGATAATATGGCTATGTGATTTAAAATCAATTCTGACAACCGGAGATAGCTCAACACCGACTTGAAACTAGATATCGATATAACTGTTGAAGGCTGAACTCATTAATGTATTTGTTTTAGAATGAGTGATATCAAAGAGTTATTGAAATCAATGAAAACGGAGAAGGAGAAGTTGTCGAGAGAGCGCGAGGAGGCGCGGGGCGGGGGCGGGGGCGGGGGCGGTGGCGGCGGGGCCGGGACTGGGGCCGGGGCCGGGGCCGGAGCCGGGGGCGTGCTGCATGAGTTCAACTGGCGACGACTGAACAGGGAGATGAATCAGCTCTGCAACGAGTACGATACGCTCATCACTGCAAACAACACTATTGAAGATAAACTCACTCATTTAGAATCTAATCCCCCAAGGTATGTATTAAAACACTTGTACACGCAGTTTTATTTGAACAGTCCTATCGTTCGTGTGTAGTAGGCTTTATGAAATACAATTTATATGATAATATTGTTAAAAGAAATTATGTTTGGTATAATTTAATTTGTCCACTAATTACGAAATTGAATTTTTTCACATTCAATTGAAGATTTTAAAATAACAAAAATTTACCCTTCGTTGATAAATCCAATAAAGAATATTGGATTTATTGGATATTTTCATCTGTCTGAAAAATACGAATTCGAATATTTTAAATTCAAATTTTAAATTGATGGATGTTTGTTACTACGTAATCCCTTGAACGTCTTAACGGAAGATGCTGAAATTTGTCACAGATTTAGAACATAGGCTACTTACTCTCGGCAGAAGCTAATCTTACTAATAGTATAAATGCGAAAGTTTATCTGGATGGATGTTTGTTAAAGATTGTAGCCTAAATTGCTGAACGGATCTTGATATAATTTGGCGCACATGCAGAACGTAGTCTGGAAGAACACAGGCTACTTACTTTTGTTTTTTTTTTAATTCCACGCGGACAAAAGCTAATCTCTTATAAAATTCTCAACTTTTCTTATATTCGTTAAAAGCATTACCGTAGTAATACCGTAGTTGCTAGAAGTTTCTAGAGTTGAAGTGACAGTATAGTTGTTTGCCAGCTCGGTGTACCTGTCGGTGCGCGACCGCCAGATCCTGGACTGGCACTTCGCCAACCTGGAGTTCGCGAACGCGACGCCGCTCGCCAACCTCTCCCTCAAGCACTGGGACCAGGACGACGACTTCGAGTTCACCGGCAACCATCTCACAGGTATCATCTATACTCTGTACTATAGACTATATGTCTATATATCTATATCTATACTAATCTAATAAATAGGAAAGATTTGTATTTTTGTATGTATTGAAATAACTCAGAACTTACTGGGCCGATTTTAAAAATTCTTTCACCATTAGAAAGGAAATTTATCAGTGAGTAACATATATTATTACATTTTTATTATTACTAGCTCGCTACACATCTTCAGTTTTAACTGAACAATTATATCGTAGGCGTGTAAGGAAAATTAAGATTATCACAGTTCAACTGACAGTTTAAGTATTGCCTACATACTTACAATCCAACTGTACGGTTAAAACTGAAGCTTAAATCTAAGTGTGCTTAAACCTAACTAAAAATAATTGGCTTATATTGTAAAAATACATTATTTTTTATCTAAACGATGTGTCACCGCGGGATGCACTTGATTCATATTCTTGTCTCTATTTTTTTTTAAAGAAAGAATGGAAGGAAATATACGCACAAAATGATAAATTTAGATTTTACAATCGCTAACAACCGTCGTCTAAAATACAAGAAAGACATCATTATAATATTATTTGCTCAACTTAATGAGAAGTGGTTATGCAAAGCAATCGATTTGCAATACACTTGATTATGTTCGCTTTATAACATCGCATTTGCAAGCAAATAGGCCAACATGAAATTACGCACATAAATCATTGACTAATCACTATGATGATACCACTTGATCGATGCGGTGGCAAGTGTTGATATCAAAAACTGGTCGTTAATACCAAATCGCTAATCACATGTGCAACATTTGATTAGACCTCCATCGTTCATTACGAAATGTTTCCGCGAGTTTACGCACGATCGATGCTCCATTGTGCATCGAACAAATAATGCTACCGGATGCCATTCGGGTCGCCCCTTTAAAGGACACAGGCTCTCTTATTTGCTTCTACTTAGGGATAACCAATGTCTTTGCTATGGGAATACAAAACGTGCTTTTAATCCTATTGAATTTTATTGCAATACCTTTAATGAGCTTTGTGTTCGGGTATCATTAAACTTAATGTTGGGTTAGACGTCGAGTTTCACAATAATGGCACATTTAAACAGTACATACTGTGCATATATACGTATTGTCCATACCTATTGGTATAAATTAATTCGTGGCAAGGATAAAAGAAGAATATTTATATTGAAATTCTACATATATAGAGTTAAATATGTCACACGGTGTGATCTATGAAAAGTTGTTAAGTTTTAATGGTAAAAATTTATGATTATAAACTTCTGGAGATTGCTATGTGTCGAGCCTAAAGCCTCATGTTATGAATGTAGCATTCTCATGTTAGTTACCGGTTGTGATCTTTCACAACTGGAAGCTGGACTCTTCTCCAGAACCGTGGTTCGTGTCAATAATTACTATTATTTCCACTCGCATGTTTCCATCTTTTGCCGGCGATAAATTACCCTCTGACTTCTGTGAATTGTCATAATGACCGTTTCAGCAAACTCGAAGCTTGTATTTAACTACTTTACACGTACGTCGTACAATTTAAACTTTTGTTTGCCTCGTTCACTTTAATAAGGCGCTTGTACGCGTAACAATATTTCCCGGCATTATGTATGGGATTGCTTTTTTTGTTGAGCCCAACAAAGCTATAGCTTTGCCGATTACGCGCGATGTTCAAAAAGGAAAGAAATGGAAACTGTTGCGGTTGTTATTCAGCTCTGGAGATATGTATCGCGACATCCTCGAGACGCCTTTGTGAGTCGGACGGTGGGTTCGTCGTCGGCCATAATTCTCGTTGTTCGAGCGGCGCGGTGTCCGCGGCGTGGGTAGTTGAAAAATGACATCTTGATTGTTGTGCGTTATCCAGCTCATGAGAAAGTCGAGTAGGGCTGGTCGCGTGCGTGCGCATTGTGCGGCGGCATCGCAGTCGGACGCTCGAGGCTCGCTGCTAGCGGCTGCTGCCTCTACAAATTGAACGATTGTTAACCGTCTTCTCGGAGCACTGTTATCGTAACTTGTCACGCCATTTTTGTATCGTCGGGATATCTAATTTTATAAGGAACAATAATTTTGAATACTTGTATGATTATCAAACATTTACTTTAACGTTTATTAAATAAATAAAAATTATATATTGTTACAAATATCTTTAAAGCGTCGGCTATGCCTAATTTTCTAACTTTATTCCAATCTCATGTTAAGGTGTCGACGCCATGTAAAACTTTTTATTAGCTATATTATACCGTTTTATACGTCGAGTTAGCCATAAAAGTTTGTGATTAATGTATTGTAGAGAAGATGAATAAGGTACGACTTTACATTCCGATAAAAATAACATCTGCCTATAACTCATCTGGTCCCAGTGAGGTATTCACATATCATGAATGCAGCTAAAAACTGCGTTAATCACGACTTATAAGTAATGTTGCTATTTACCGACAACAAATGGCGTTTCAAACAAGTCTCCGAGGTGGCGGCTCGTACCAAGCGATAGTGTTATAGCCTCGCCACTAACAAGTTTTCGATAATGCTTTGGGCCGCTTAAGGTCTTAATGAATGCAATGCCCGATCATGTCATCATTTGTTATTAATTTAATGAATAAATCAATATAAACGTCGCGTGATGTGAAAGTGTTTTCGTTTATTGGGACTCTTGATATTGCTTAAAGGAAGCCATATTCTAAACACCTCTCATGGGAGACTTTACAAGGATGCGTGCTCGAATATCACAAGAAATTTTACGCGTATCCTTATTTGTACGAATTCACGAAAGCTTTGTTTGGCGTATTATAATGTAGTCACGAAAGAATGTCGAATATGTTTACATTTTTATTAAAGGGATTATTCATGTTATATTATACGACTATTACAATTAAATTGTATGTAGATTGCACATTACGATTTTGAAACGAATATAGATCAGAATGTTTATTAGATTGACAGCTTTAACGGCTAGGACACCAATTGCGACTGCGCCCGTGGAGGCGTCAGGGGCGTGGATGAATAGGCAATGAGTCGACGAATGGCTCTATTAAACCGCCATTGTTCTGGGATCGCTTCAGTTGCGCAAGCGACGTACATTGTTCGTGTCGCTTTCACAATAAGCCAGTGACGTCACACGACCCGAATGTGTTAGATGTAGTCCGATTTGCATTTTGGTGAACCTTTAAACCTGTACTACGAAGCGCAGTGGCAAAAGGCCAAGAGCTCTTCGCTTGGTTACACAATTGCTATCTTGATAAACTGCCTGGCTCGTATTAAGTGGATTTAATGCTATGGTAATTAAGATTAGTGTTATATCTTTGTAGTAAATAATAGAATTACTGAAAAGTATATTTTTTATCACTAAGTTCTTTTGTCCCTTCCATTCCACTTTTATTAAAGTTTTCTTGACGTTTATTAGTGGAATATGAGAAAATTATACGCAGATATATCAAACATATTTATGTATTGATATGGCGAAAATCGTATTATCTGTTTGCTGTTAAATTGGTAATGATTGGCTTTTAACACATATTTATTCTCAATGTGTGTTAAAAACATGCAATTGGAAAATGGCGATTCAGTTCGACATTTACATATGCAATAACATTTACCTTGTATCGAGATGTGAATCGCTTAACGTATTAGCAGTATTGTATTAGCTCGGTGGACAACTATTAGTCCTTTATACTCGTTTTGCGTTCCCAGTAAATACCAAAGTGTTGGAACGAGCCAACTATAGTGAATTACTTGACGTAATCTGACTTGCTTTATTGCCTCCATAGATCACGGTTACGACTTCGCAATGGTGTAGAATGAATGCCAGTGACCATACACTGCAGTTTGTAGGACCCATATAAATTTATTTTGCGTCTGTATTTTAGACTTTACCAGCGTGTTTTATCTTTTTGTTTGAATTTAGTACAGAACTTATTTTACATAATAATACGATGACAATGATGTGTACGATGGAAATAATTTGTTATTATTTAGGTAATCTAATAAATCTAATAATGCTATAAATAAGACGCAAAAATCCTGTCTGACTATATTTTGTTAGTTTAGTATTCCTCGTCCGTTCATCAGGCCTCCCGCTTTAACTTTCCGTTCATTGTCAAAGTTGTAATGCTCTTTGTGGACCCTAATTGAATTAACTGTTATGCTAATACTCTGATTTCCCATCTTATTCCGTTAATAGAGGACTACCACAGTCCAAACCAATTAAAGCGAACGTTTGTGGATTACTCAACTTTCCGTATACGGTTAGTTTGAGGGTCCCCGCGCACGCGGCCAATTCAACGCTCACCTAATCCGCTTCCCTTAATATGTAGTCGCCTTTCTCATTGACAAAGTTCCTATTATAATTAAAATAGTAGTGAACGACGTGTATCTGCTCGTTTGAGTTATAGAATTTAATATGCAAGTTTCTAGAAATGTGGCGAGTAAAGGCAATGCACACAAATAGCTATATATTTTTCGAACCATATGCTATGTCTTTAGAGTCCAATGACGACAGTATCATCAATGGGAAGGGTTTAAATTTCCATTCATTAGCCACTTTGGTTTTACACGGTTAACGGTACATAAATGTCATTATTTTTTGTTATTTTAAAAAGACATAAAAGATCCATGTTTCTACAGACTTTGTTTTTTTTTGTCTAGACAGTAAGGGATTTTTGTTGGAGAATGTGTAGTGATTTCGGTACGTAGTCTGTTTCGCTACATCCTACGCTGTACGTTTAGCTTGATAGTGGTTGAGATGCGAACAAGTTTGGTGTGCGGCGGTACATATGTCGCTTTATTGCGCATTTCTGTGAGCCGTACATTCCGTCCCTGGACGCCGTCTCTAATAGTAGTGTGTTGCGGTTTTATAAACGCTGCCGCGACCTGTATTGCATTCCGTAAACGACTTGAATATGTCTCCCAACTTCCTCCTAGGAAGGTTCGACTTTGATTTAAATTGAATTTGTAACAGAAGTCCATATATATTAAAACCTTGAGAATTAAATAATAGCAAATTGAT